GTAGAAGAAAGAACTTTTTATCAAAGAGCAATTGTACATTAAGAAAGCATCCCAGCCCAGTCCAGGTCAAGTCCAGAAGTCCGATATTAGCCCATATGTCCAGTACCAGTCTATAAATTCCTCTTGAGTCATGCAGCACATGCAATGACGCCAAATATAGGAAGACCACACACCAGCGTTGGAAATTCTTATGGCTCCAAGGCGATGCAAGCAAACTGGCATGGGTCTTCACGTGGCTCCTCCAGCTCCATGGAGGAGCTGGCTGCCATCAGTGTAGCTCCATGTGTCTTGTTAGCAGGAGTGTCTTGCAGACAGACAGTGAGTGTGCCACCTCCAGCGAGCTTTGTAGTGCCTCCAAATGAGGTCATCCAGCTGTGACCCGATTGACAGGCTAAACGCCACCCCCTTCACTCTTAATAGTCTCATGCTGACACCAGATGATGTAACTACCACAGATCGGTAGCTGGAAATAGGGCTTGGTGATAGATATGATGCTGGAGATCATATGTCTGAACTTTGACCTAATAAACCAGTGGTTCTCAACCTGCCTCATGCTGCGACCCTTTAACACAGTTCCTCCTATTGTGGTGACCCCCAACCATAAAATTATTTTCATTGCTACTTCATAGCTGTAAGTTTGCTACTGTTATGAATTGGGTGACCCCTGTGACAGGGTCGTTTGATCCCCAAAGGGGTCGTGACCCACAAGCTGAGGACCACTGCAATAAACAATGAAAAGTTAAAAATAGATATAAACACCAAATGACTTATTCCTTGCAAATAGCTTTATTCGAGACCATAAGTAGTGGTTATACACGTGCACCTTTTAGGATAGAATGTATAGGAATCAAATTGACTACATCTATAGGAAGAAATAATGGAGAGACTCAGTATGATCAGTCCAAGTTAACACTTAGTCGTGGGTTATGATACCATTTGTATCAGAGTAGAACTTAACTCCAGAGACCTTTTTTTTTTTTTTTTAACTGGCATTTTATTGGTTGCTTTGAGATCAGCACAGATACATTATGAACAATTTGTACACAATTCTTTCTTTCTTTTCACAATTCTTCATGCACGTATCACAATCCAAAATGGCATATGGATAAAATGTGTTTCTAAATTCCAGTGACTTTCTAGCTTTAAATGGAGGCAGAATTTTGTAAAGAGATTATCAAGTACCATTAACTTCAGGTGTTGATAAGCTGTTACATCTTAAGTCCCACTAATTCACAACTTAGTGTCACACACACACACACTCAAAAGTTCAACCCTTCACAGCACATAGCAAAGTGGACTCCTCTGACCACAGGTGTCACAGAATGCACACAGTTCTGACAAGAAAGCCACGAGTCTACTTAAAAACAAAAAACATTGAAACAAAAATTTTAATGTTCACATCATGCAAATGCATGACAGTGACTCCAAATTGCCATAAAGTGTGTTTTGTACTAGGGATATAAAAATTAGTGCCCCCCCTCCCATGGAATGTTATGTTGACACCCAAGACAGTTAAATAGTCCACAGTTCAACATTCCACTATTTTCTGGCTGTACCAAAAATAAACAACCAATAAATTATGTTAAATGTTTAACATAAAATGTTTCTAGAGCTACTAAAAACTTGCATTTCCAAAATAGTTGGTAAAAAGATTCCTCTGGATTGCCCATGAAGGGAGATAACACTGCCCCCTGATAAGCCATGATATAAACATTCATCAGACTTGGCTTCTTTTTCTCCTGCTCGATCCGAGGTTGTGCTCTCCTCATGTTTTGTTTCTTGGTTAGCTGCTTCAGCCCGTTCTCCCTCTGCTCCCCTGCTGCCTCTTTTGGCTTTGTGTCTCCCCTTTTGCAGGCCTAGGTTCCTCTGACAACATCGCTGATCTTTTCTTGGGCTCCTCCTTCATCGCCCCTTCAACCAAGCTGACCTTCCTTTGGTTATCTGCCCTGTGAATGGGGTACGTGCAGGATGCCCGCCGACCATGGGGCACCGGGAGCGTTCCTGAAGCTGCTGCTCTCCCCTCCTACTCCAAAAACTTAAAAAAAACCTTTTCACTTTACTAGGTAGAGTTTTTTTATAGAGCATATCATCCGTATTTCATTCAACAACTCATATATAGTTTGTTTCAGCTCATCCATTGTAGTGTCCTCAATGTATCCTTATTAGTCCTCCTTCGATTCCTCCTTTAATAACCCTCAGAACCTTGTTCTTGGATAAATGCTGCTCTTTCCATCCTAAATGGTTGGTTTGTCTACTGCAGGGATACGTTTACTTCCTGACTTGAAGGGAGGCTGGTCTCGGAGTTCCCACTGTCTCTATCCCACCAGCTATTAAGCCTGGTCACGTGTCATTTGGGCCTTCTTAAGCCATCTTTTTCAGAGTAGCTAGTAGTAGGCATCATGTAGTTTTTCTGGTCTCAGCGTTGTGAAACCTGGTGTTTGTATGGTCTATTTGTCCATCTGACTAATTGTTTCTATACGTCACTCAAGTTTTATCATTCTACTTTCCTCCGGATGGGAAGAGACCAATGGCTATAATTTAGATGGCTGCTCCCGCAATTTTGTGTATGGTGGGGGGTATGGATCCTGTTTCGTTTTTCTGCACTTTCCTAACACTATTTGTTAGAGAGACTGTTTGTTCACCATTGAATGAACTTTGAAATTCAGCTGCCAACAGGGATGGATTTGCTTGTGGGTTCTCAATTGATCTATGGTGGTTTCTAACTGCCGACCTATCAATTTAACAGATGAGAGCTTGGCCATTGTGCCACCAGGACTCCTAAGGGACTATATATATGGCACGATTTAAGCTTGAGAAAACACAAATCTGGAGAAATAGACTTAAAGTGTTTGCTTATATGTGAGGGTAAGTTTAAGAGGGTTGCTATAAAATGATAGAAACCTTTATTAAACAAAAATATCAAGATGTGAAGCTGTTATCTGTCAACGTATCCTCCACCTAGGTCTATACACTTTTGAAGATGGTGTTCCATCTCTCTAACCCGTTCCTGAAGGGAAACCACGTCAAAACGGGAATGTTGTCATCCTTGAGGAACTCAATTTGTGTTTCTTGTAAATGTCCTCTGGGGACACAGCTGTGTTCCTTTTAAATGTTGAGCCTTAGGAAAACAAGTCTGCAGGGGCAAGATCCGGGCTGTAGGGTAGGTGGAGTAAGGTTTACCAAGGGAAGTCTCATACGACAGACCTTGCATCCCTAGAAGAATAAGCAGGTGTCTTGTCATGTTGGGGTGGAAAATTCTTTGGTTCAACTTTCCTGGAATTTTTTTCACCAATGTAATTTTCAATTTTCTTAAAACTTCTTCCTAATAAGTACTGTGATTATCCTGTTTCCTTAGAGAAAATCTATCAAGATTATCCTTTAGAAATCCCAGAACGTAGCCTTCTGACCTCTCTGCCTTGAGTTTAAGCCACTGTTACGATTGAGAGCACGCTCATGTGATTCAGATTACTGAGAGAAGTTATCTGCATCCATCCACTAGTAACAGTGACAGGTTTAAATTGGTTTGCTTGGAATAAACCCATGTATAGATGAACTGGAAGCCTAATAGCAGTATTTTGGACTTAACTTTCAGGAACATTTTTTGCGCTCATATGATTTTTAGTTTAAAGTTGAGGATCATTGATTTTTATTTTGTCTGCCCAAGTTATTGGCTTTTAGTGGCATGCTTTGAAGCATGCATTTGTTTATATTTTTAATTTCTTATGTAACTTTTGCTCCTTTCTTTCCTGGGGCCAGCTCTAGTCATCCCATTTCTAGTAGGTGACCACCTGGTTCTAGATGTCCACCCTTTCCCAGACATGTTAAGTGCATGGTAAACTTTTATCCTGAATCTCATCCCACACCACCCCTAACAGGGCCCAATATGTTAACTGATTAATCTGATTGAGTAACTGATGTGGATAGAAATGGCTCCCAGTTAGTATGCTTGTGATTATGTCTCTGGGCCCTTTGGGCTAAGTCATTAACCATTCTAATGAAGCGAATTTCAAGCCAGGTTGTAAAGGTAGGACGGTGCTATTAGGTAATGATCATGCTCATTTTCTTTCTTATTTACTCTTCTAGTAAGATGTGTAGCATCCAGGGATCTCTTGCATTTTCTCTTTCTGAATGGTTGGGATGGACAATTCTAACCAGAGCCATCCTCCAGCATCAGACGATGGAAATATCTTGTATACAGTATAAATTGGGAAGAACCTGCGTGAGCCAGAGATCTGCCAGAGAAGGAAAAGTGAAATCTTTCTCACTAATAGAGAGTAATAGAAATGTGGGAAGACGGCACCCCGTCCAAGGGGGAAAAGTTGTGAGATGCGGGACAACATGGCAGTCGCGTAGCGCTCCGGAACTCATAGATTTCACCACGGTAACGATGGGAAAAGGCATGATCATCTTGGTCATTTTTTCATTCTTTAATATCTAGGCTTTCTCTGTGTATTATAAGGTCTCCTAGCACCTAGCAGGAGCCCTGGTGGCACTGTGAGTTAGGTGTTGGGCTGCTGCTGAATGCCAAAGTCAGCAGTTCAAACCTACCAGCTGCTCTTTGGGAGAAAGATAGAGCTGCCTTCTACAAAAGATGTACAGGTTTAGAACCCTCTTTAGGGTGCCTGTGGTTAAAATGATGGCAATGGGTTCAATCTGGGGGTGTAGGACCAAGGGATATCGTATTATCTGGTGGAAATTCCATAGTACAGTGCTTGAACATTACATTACTCAGGTTCTCAATCTGCTGCTACCTTTAATTAGCATATAACCTTCGGCAAATCACAGCTCTTCTTTGGTTGCCCACCTGCTTGCCTAAAACATGAACATGATCTTCCAGGGTGGCATCATTGGGGCTTTGCTGGTGTGGACATGTTTTACTCCTTTTTCTTGTTTTTTTTCAATAAGCTGTCTTGATATTTTGTGAAAACAAGGTAATGCAATACTGTTCACAAAACCTTTTCAAACCTGTAAGTGAAATAAATGTCTTTGTTTTTTCACAGTGGCAACTGACGCCATCAGGAGTTTATGATCTTAAACAAAATGAGCCTGAAAGGAGAGAGAGTAAGTATTGCTAAGGTTCATATTTACATGAGCTTTAGTGCTGAAGAAAAGGATTTTAATGATCATAATTCTCAATGCCATCTAGGGGAATCGACTCAGAGCGACTCCGTAGGACAGGTAGAATTGCCCCTTTGGGTTTCCGAGACTTTAAGTTTGGACAGGAGCAGACAGCCTCATCTCTCTGGTGGCTTCGAGTCACCGACCTCGTGGTTAGCAGCTCAATGCATAGCCCACTATGCCACCGGGCTTCTTTTTATGATAAGTTGGTAGAAATGTTTTGGTTATAGATGAAACACACTCTTTTTAGCAGATTAAATTTTTTGCCATGCAATTTGTTCACAAATGGTTGTGAAGCTGCTATACATGCTGGGGAAAATGCTAAGAAGCCCCTGAGGTGCTATATGGTAGATGTTTTATTGCAAACTGGAAAGGTGGAGGTTCAAACCTACCAGCTGCTCCACAGGAGGAAGATGAGGCTTTCTGTTCTCAAAGAGATTTCCTAGCCTCAGAAGCCCTATTCATAGCTGCTATTGAGTCAGAATTATTCTGGGGCTGTAGAAGGGGATGTGTGCTGATGCAGTTTTGCTCCCAGAGATCTAGAATCTCATACAGCTAATCATGCACAAATTGAATGTATAAATTATACTTCTCTGAAAATAGTAATTAACAATGTTCCTCCATACCAAAATGCAAGCCTCTTGGATAATTAGAATATATATATAATTAGTAAAACTGGATCTAAAACTAAATAATGAAGGGATTTATGAGTATCTACTTACTAGATCCACGTCTTCCCAGATTTATGAGGGTGGAAATGTTCTGGTTGTTATAACTAAGAGTTAGCCTAGCTACCACAAATGAATTGCCAGCCTTCAAAGCTTCATTATTTGCTTATGAGCACAGGTTAGATCTAATATAATTTAGTGTTTAAGAGGGCCAATGAATACATTCCTGTGTTATAGACGACCACTTAACTGCCAGTGTGTTGTACTGGGATGGCTTGTGCGTTGCTGTGATGCTGGAAGCTCTGTCACTGGTAATACAAAGATCAGCAAGAGCACACAGTGAACAAGTTCAGCAGAGCTTCCAGACCAGGAACAGACGACAGAGAAGGAATAGGCTGTCCACTTCAGAGGAATTAGCCACAGAAAACCTGATGGATAGCATGAAAACACTGTCAGATACGGAAAACCTCATGAATTAGAACTAAAATAAAGAAATTAATTAATTTTAAAATTAAAAATAAATAAATAAAAGAAGTAGAACTCTGCACACAGTGGCTGCCCCAACCGGCTCCGACACAGGACCAATTGTGAGGACAGTGGCGTGGCATCCTCTTGTACACAAGGTCACTCACTACGAGTCAGAAATGCTGACAATAAACGCAACAGTCACAACATAGTTAGAGAAAAGCTACGAATATCCTTAACAATAGAAAGATGGATTAATCTATCTGCTTAAAATTAAGAGCATGTGTTCGCCAAAAATACCATTAAAGAATTGCAAGCACAGCATAGAATAGAAGAAAATATTGTATTATTATTACTTTTTTGAGTTGTTGTTGTTTGCAGTTTTATTGGCAAATTATACAATTCAGTAGTTCGATCAATTCTTGCCACCATCAATTTTAGAATATTTCCTTCCTCCTTGTACCCATTCTTAGTGTCAGTATTTTTTTAACTATGGCAAAAATATGTACAACAAAACATTGTCCAATCCAACACCTACATGTATAGTTCAGTGCCATTGATTATGCTCAGATGTGCAACCATGATTGATATCCTTTTTCAAATTATTCCACCACCGTTACGATAAACGTAATGCCCCCTTAGAAAAAACTCTACCCATGGTAACCATTGGTCAAGTTTGGGCTCTTTCTTTTCTTTCTTTTTAAAATCATTTTGTTGGGGGTTCTTACAGCTTTTATCAAAATCCATACCTACATCCATTGTGTCAAGCACATTTGTACATATGTTGCCATCATCATTCCCAAAACATTTTCTTTCTAACTGAGCCCTGGGTATCAGCTCCTATCCCCCTCCCTCATGAACCCTTGATAATCCATAAATTACTATTTGTTCATGTCTTACACTGACCACTGTCTTCCTTCACCCACTTTCCTGCTGTCTGTCCTCCTGGGAGATGGTTATATGTCGACCATTGTGATTGGTTCCCCCCTCTCCCTCTCTCTCCACCTTCCCCTTCCCCTCCTGGTATTGCTACTCTCATTATTGGTCCTGAGGGGTTTATCTATCCTGGATTCCCTGTGATGTGAGCTCTTATCTGTACCAGTGTACATGCTCTGGTCTAGCCAGATTTGTAAGATAGAATTGGGATCATGATAGTGGGGGAGGGGGGGTGGTGGGAGGAAGCATTAAAGAACTAGAGGAAAGTTGTATGTTTCATAGGTGCTCTACTGCAGCCTGACTGGCTGGCTCTCATCTCTTCCTTGTGGCCATTCTGTGAGGGGATGTCCAATTGTCTACAGATGGGCTTTGGGTCTCCACTCCGCACTCCCTCTCATTCACATTGATATGATTTTTTTTGTTCTGGGTCTTTGATGCCTGATACCTGATCCATTTAACATGATAGTGGAGGGCGAAGGAGAGAGAAGCATTTAAGAACTAGAGGAAAGTTGTATGTTTCATTGTTTCTCACTGCATCTTGACTGGCTCATTTCCTCCCCGCAACACTTCTTAAAGGGGATGTCTAGTTACCTACTGATGGGCCTTGGGTCCCCACTCCGCACTCCCCCTCATTCACAATGATTTAATTTTTTTGTTCTTTGATGCCTGATACCTTATCCCTTTGACACCTCATGATCACACAGACTGGTATGCTTCTTCCTCGTGGGCTTCGTTGCTTCTGAGCTAGATGGCCACTTGTTTACCTTCAAGCCTTTAAGACCCCAGTACTATATCTTTTGATAGCTGGGCACTATCAGCTTTCTTCACCACATTTGCTTATACACCCATTTGTCTTCAGTGAAAATATCAGGAAGGTGAGCACACAATGATATGATTTTTTTTGTTCTTTGATGCCTGATAACTGATCCCTTTGACACCTCATGATCACACAGGCTTGTGTGCTTCTTCCATGTGGGCTATGTTGCTTCTGAGCTAGATGGCTGCTCGTTTACCTTCAAGCCTTTAAGACCCCAGACACTATATCTTTTGATAGCCGGGCACCATCAGCTTTCTTCACCACATTTGCTTATGCACCCATTTGTCTTCAGTGATTGCGTTGGGTCGGTGAGCATCATGGAATGCCAGTTTAATACAATAAAGTCTTCTTGCATTGAGGGAGTACTTGAGTAAAGGCCCAATGTCCACCTTAATACGAAACCTATAAATACATGCACATAGATCTATTTCCCTATACTCATATATAAATATATTTACATATGTACATGCCTGTATTTAGACCTCTATAAATGCCCTTTGCCTCCTAGTTCTTTTCTCTATTTCCTTTTTTTCCCCTCACTTGTCCCACTATCATGTTCAGCCTTCATTTGGGTTTCGGTAATTCCTCTCAGACACATTGCCCATGAACAAGCCCCACCAGGCATCCTATGCCCTCCTCGCTATCGATTTTAGATCACTTGTTCCATTGTTCCTGAGTTTGTTGGCATCCCCTTTCCTTTCCCCCACTTCCCCCTCTCCTGTTTCCCCCCAGAACCATTGGTCCTGTTGTTTTCTCCTTCGTATTGTTTATCCCACCTATAACAAGACAAAGCAAAACAAAACAACAAAGGAAAACAAAAACCAAAACAACAATAACAGCAACAACAACAAAAGAAAAGCCTATAACTAGATCAGATCTGTTTGTTGACCTTTATGAGTGTTTTTCAGTCGAGTCTGGTGTCGGGCAGGCGCGCTCTGTAAAATACCCTGTCCCGGTCTTGGTGTCGGGCAGGCGCGCTCTGTAAAATACCCAGTCCCGGTCTTGGTGTCAAGTGCCTGAAAAAATGCAGAGCTTTTGGCGATCTACCTTTTGGTCATCACAGTGACTTCAGTGGGGCTCCGTTGGGACAGGTTAAATTTTTCTAAGGGGCTCCCTGTGGAGCATAAGTGGGTGCAAGTTTTGCTTCTTCCAGAATAAAAATAATATTTTGCCCCAAAATTTCAGGAGTTGTTGGGCCATATACTGTTCAGTGAATCAGTCTTTTAAAAGATCATGATGAGGGTAATGAATGTCCAAATGTGCTTGGCACAATGGGTGGATGTATGGATTGTGATAAGAGTTGTATGAGCCCTCAATAAAATGATTTCAAGAAAAAGAGCAAAAGTCAAAAGCAAAAACAAACCCAAAAAAGATTAGTTACTCTGTGACCTGAGAGGGAGCTGTAACATTTGCTAACAGTTGAGAATATGCAGATACAATGTAAGAAAACTAGTGTTCCTTTGCCCCTGTTGTAAAGTGGAGTCTCCTTGTTTCCTTTTGAACCGCAGATGGCCTGTTGGGACCCGTGGCGCTGGAGAACGAAAGACACCCAAACAAGAAACTGTGTCTGGGAAACCGCTGAGATATCCGTCCGTCCGTCTGTCCTGTCTAACCCGAAGCACAAAGGCCTCCCGAATTTGTATTGCACTTCTAACAGGCATCCTCGTGAACGCCGAAAATAAGGACGAAGGTTGTTAACAATGGAAAGGATTTTTAAAGGGAGAGCAGTTAGTACTGGCAAATTAACAATGTAAATGAGGCTGTTTTCATGTTAGATTGATTTGTGTATTTCCAGAATATAATAGTGTGATTTTAATACACTAAACGAAGTGGCAAAAATGGAATGAGAGTGATTTAACCACAAATAGGGGTGACTGCTTTTTAGTAATCTTTGAAACAGGCTGGTTCACCGGAGGTCACATTTCCCCAGGGAATAGTACACCTTTCTGAGAAATACTGATTTGGATTAAACGTTAGCGAATTGCTCCATAGAAATAAATGACAGCCATGCCATCTTTTAAGAGCCAGTGTAAGGCAAATCCAAAATGTCAAATTTGCATACCCAAAGTATTCTATTACTTTTTTATTCAGAATTGACTTAGTTTGGATTGCCTCTCTGAAATAAAGTTGGGGCTCCTGTTCTCGATTTTGAAAGTTTATTTCCAAGAAGCTTATTCGTTTTCCTTGGATATTTTGCTCTGTGGAAATCTCAACGATTTGTTGGGCATGAGGCTATCACGGAGTGGGGGAAGAGTAGGAAGATAAGATTATTCTATGACAGCATTGCTATTTGATATCAATGACTCTTGCGATTACCAACAGCAAACCTCAAATTTGAGTTTAATTTTAATAGAGAAGAAATATTTTAGTCTCAATTATTAAAACTAGCCTTCTTTGAATCCCGTTCTTAGATACTGTCCCCCTTTTGTCCCCTTTCTATAACCGACATGGACTTGTCTCATGGCTTCGACCTTACAAAAAAGAAGTCCTTAAGAAAACATTTGCAAACCTTAATGATATTGAAATAGTCTCGAGACTCAATGTTATACTCAGTGATGTTATACATTCTAAATCACTCTTTGTAATTCCCATCGTTTTTATTTATTGAGAACCTTCTGTGAAAATCAGTCTGAAGATGAATAGTTCGCACTTCCCTTGAGTTCGGGAGGGACTTGCAGTGGCACGCGCTCCGCTGACTTTAGGCATGCCATCATAAGAAACAACTGCCCGGGCATGTGCAGTGTTGTGGATGAAACCGTGCTTCCAACCCCCCGATACACGTCAACTTGGTGAGGCCACGACCCCAGTATTGTGTAGTTCTTCTTCACTTCGTGATCGGATTATCTGTGCCTGGCGCTATGTGTTTGAACGCTGACCTCTGCCTGCTGATGAGGCAGGTCGATGTGGGCTATGTCTTCAGTCGTAGGCTTCAAGAGAGCCTGACTCCAGTCTCGCCCTCCCTCAAGGCACATCTCTGAGTCACACCTTTTCTCTCACAAGAGGTAAAACGGAGGAAGTGCGGAGCAGAGAGGAGAGACGTGACTACCATCCAGAAAGACAAGTCGGAGCAGAATGTGTCCTTCGGACCTGGGGTCCCCGTACTGAGAACGTCCTAGACCCAGGGCGGGATTGATGACAAGACTCATGGAGAGCTCCCCGAAATGCTGAGAGAAAGCTGTCCCGTAGAGCTGGCACCTTGAATTCAGACTCCTAGCTTCCTAAACTGAGAGAAGAAACACACTGAAAAGTAGACAAGGAAAGGGGACAATTTTGGTAAATGCTGTAGCGTAAATAATTTCCCACCAACAGTAACAACAACCCCAAAATGTGTAGTCATATTGACAGATCTGGATACATGTATGTCTATAGAAAGACCTATATGTATAGAGTAAATGCTCATGCACATATAGACGTACCTGTCCAGAGGTATATTGTGCATTATACATATTTGCATATGCTGCATATCCACATGTAT